CTCCTTGTGCGTGAGCCCACTGTTGAGCACCGGAGCCTTGACCTCCCCATCCGCCGCCTCCTTGTGGCTGCTGTGGCTGACCCCAGCCTCCTTGCTGCTGTTGTGGACCTCCCCAGCCGCCTTGCTGTGGTTGACCTCCGCCCTGCTGGCCTCCCCATCCTCCTTGCTGCGGTTGAGGTCCTCCCCAGCCTCCTTGCTGTTGTTGTGGTCCTCCCCAGCCACCGCCTTGGTTGCCACCACCGCCGCCTCCTTGCTGTCCTCCCCAGCCGCCTCCGTAGTCTGCAAGGAAAAGGATTATAATTTCAATTAATTCAGAATGTATTCCCCTATCTTCCCGGGATCTGCTTATAAGACCAAATTTCGGAGCCTAGAAATCACTAAAAATGGGCTAAAATCGCCTAAAAATCACTCCGAATCGCTCAAAAATCGCTAGAAAAATTACTAAAATCGCTTAACAATCACTTAAAATGACCTAAAATTGCTAAAAACGGCCCGAAATCGCTTTGAAAAATCGATGAAAATGATCCAAAATCGGTCAAAAATTGCATGAAATCGCTGAAAATAGCTCCGAAATTACCCGAAATCCTTAAAAATCTCTAAAATGGCCTAACATCGCTGAAAAATCGCTAAAAATTGTCTAAAATCGCCAAAATTAGACTTTAGAATCGCTTAAAACAGCCTGAAATCTCCAAAAATAGCTAAACAAACTCACTTCCTCCTCCATATCCTCCTTGGCCACCGCCTCCTGGTCCTCCCCATCCTCCTGGACCACCTCTTGGAGCTCCACCCGGGCCTCCCCAGCCACCACCTCCACCATTGTATCCTCCGCGTTGTCCGTCACGGCTACGTCCTCCGCGCGTCTCCCGATCACGACTCATCTGCGCCTTGCTCATCTCGTCCTTCGAGAGTCCTTTTCTCACATCACAGCGGTGTCCGTTAACCATATGCGACTTCTGGAGCACACACTGGTCTACACAATCGTGATCGTCAAGGTGACGAATCCGAAGCCACGTGGCTTTTGAGTGGCCTTGTCGAGGATGATTTCGGACTTGGTGACGGTTCCATACTTCGAGAAGTAGTCGGAGAGCATCTCCTCCGTGTGGTCCTCGCGAACGCCACTGACGTANAGGCGTTTGGTGGAGACATTGGACTCTGAGCGATTCTTATCGTCGCGTGGAACGGCTCGCTTTGGATCCACAGTCTTTCCATCGATGACATGGGGGACGTTGCTTCATAGCAGCGTCGACTTCAGTCTTGGCGGTGAAAGTGACGAATCCAAATCCACGAGATCTCTTGGTCGTCGGGTCTCTCATGACAATGATATCAGTGATTTCTCCGAACTGCGAGTAGAACTCGCGCATAAGATCGTCGGTGGTATTAGACGTGAGACCTCCGACGAAGATTTTTCGAAGATTCTCCGGCTCCAAATTCGAGTCACCGGATCCATTCTGAAAATGGAAATTTGGTTAGAATGCTGTCAAGATAGCTGGCCTAAGAGTAGCTGGCCTAAAAAATAAACAAAACGTAACCTCAGGCTTGACATCGACGTCCGTCATGATTCTATAGGGTTTCTATTTCTCGTAGTCGATCGGAGCTAGATTCTTAGCTTAGCTGATTGTGTATAGGGCTAGTTTCACGGTCTAGGAAAGCTATGAGTATTGTTGATCACACTGAAAAGTAGTATAATATATGTATATAGAGTACCTGAAGCTAGAGAAATTGATAAATACGAGTATATAAGTAAGCATGCACGACACTAGATCGTGATAGAAACAACATGAAATAGAGATATATGGACAGAAATAGGAGTAAAAAAATTAAAATATATAAATTATGCTATTTTTTCAATTTATTCGACATAAATAGGACTAAAACTACACAATATAGTCAATCCTCGGTCGGCGAATCGATTTTGAGCGGAAAAAATGCGAAAAATCGCGAAAAACGTACCTTTTTTCGTCGAAAACCGGCGGAAATTGACCGAAAAAAATGAGAAAAACAGCGGAAAACACGACCGCGACGCGCGCGCATCACTCACGTCGCGTGCGTTTCGCGGCGAGACCCGATGGGGAGGAAAGTGTGTGCGCCTTTAAGAACATTAATTAATTTCTGGGGGAATTTTGATGGAAAAAGTGATAAAAGGAGTGATTTTAGGGTGAAATTTCATGTAAAAACCAAAGAAAAGTGAAAATTTCGAAAATTTAAAGTGGTAAACGAGTTTTTTTTCCAGATTTCTAAAAGTTCGGGATTTCCAAAAGTTTCGAAAGTTCCAAATCGATTTCCCGACGAGTTTTTAAAATTTTTTTGCATTCAATTAAACTGAAATTGCGATTTCAACCAGAAAAAATCCCGAATTGTGTCATATTCGAGATACAGAAGGGTCTTGGCGGGTCTGGAAGAGAAAACATGGCATAACTTCTGTATTTGGGGTTCTGGGCCATGAAAAAGGTCAAGTCTGAATTTTGCAAGTTGAGAGCTTCAAAGTGAGCCTAGACACGACTAATAAGTTCGGTTTTTCAAGACGTACTCTCAAAATGAGGAATGACCGAACTTTTGCATCTGGTGGCCTAGAATTTCAATTCAGCGCTATGAAAGTTATACCATTAAATTTGTCTTGTTTAGAGCTTCAAAATGAGCCC